GTAACTCGTTCGTTCGACAGTCCAGTTAACGTTAAACGTAGCTGTAACCGGATAAAAAGTACAGCGTGTCATTTTTTTTTTAAGATATTATAATAAGAACATTTTAGCATTGGCGACTTGCCGTGGTATGACAGATTTAGATTCCATTGTTTTTTTTTTATTTATTTAAGTATTCAAATTGTTTAAATAATTTGTCTTGTTGTATACAATTTTTTTTATATATTATTTTTTTAAATCATTTTTAAAATAATAAAAACGATAAATGAATATTTGCATGTATGTAGCACTTTTCTAACACTCGAGGTTGCCGTACAAATATTTACTGGTACATTAAAAAAAGAAAGAAAGAAAGAAAGAAAGGGAAAAGAGTTGAAGTGAAATTTGAATATATGAATATGCATGAATGTTGGGGGATGTAGAGTTGAGTAAAAAAATGTCAAATCAAGCTAACCGTCAGCAGCAGTATAAATTACTACGGGTCAATGAGCGAAACAGTGATATTTATAATTTTACTACAGTATTATTTTCCGTTGTTGGGATTTTCACCGTCGAATGCTAACGCTCTCTCTTACTGCGCCCGTCTTGTGTTATGTCATAGACTCGTTAATATTCACAAGCTTTGATATCTGAAATCATTCGTACGAGTGAAGTTTTTAAAGAACGGCCGTTCTGTGCAGGTGGTTGTTCTGAGTCCAGCAATAAAGACGCCGGGTGTGATTCCGGTTTCCTCGAGATCGGGCTTTAATCTCATTCGCTCCTCTTGGCCGCTCGCCCTTCTTCTCTTTCCAGCGACTGTCTGGCAGCAGCTCGCTACTCTCAGTGATGAGTTGTTGCGAATATAAGTCCTCTGGCGCGCTCACAGAGCCTTTATTGTGTAGAATATTTCTACAGGGAATGTTCAGAATGATGCCGGGTCAGCCTCGAGGCGGCAAGTCCGAACTTCGGGTTTTAGGCCGGTCCTGGGGGTCGAGCTCTCTGGTTTCGTGCTTAAAGGAACCCGCCGGCGTCTTTCGAACTAATCCCTGATTATTACATCTACGCCAAACTTGCTTGTCTGGCCTTGCCATGCTAGTGTGAAAGTAGGGTTAAAGGGAAACCCTCTCTTGTAGGGTTCAACATTGGACTTCCCCCTAGACATCTTGCCCCAGCAAGCACTACGCTACCTCTATAAGAGGCAAGTTTACAGATCATGTAGCAGTGGATGAATCTTTTATTTTGTCCAGATAAGAATCAAGCTAGTCAAAGGCAAGTGTCTTGAGCTGCTGTAATCCTAAAGACTCCTAAGGTTTTGTCGCTTAACCCAGGACTTTTAACCCCAATCGAAACGTTTCGTTCTCAGCATCCCCGAACAAACTCCGTACTGTTTGTCTTTACAATTCTACACCTGTATATATATACTGTAACGATTTACTGTTGAACAACTGCACTATCCGATGTCAGTCAGAAGAGGACGGGATTCCTTTGGAGTCAAGGTTTCGTCCTCATGTTGTCTCAGGGAGTTTTTCCTCGGCTCTGTCTGTAGATTCAGGACTTTTTCAGCGTTCACAAATGAAATCAACCCAGTCTTTTACGGGGCAGGTTGGTCAGGCGGATGCTTTCGGGATGGGGTCTGCTGGAAACAAATGGGATCCTCTGAGATCCATATAGATTGTTAGAAAGTGACTGCAATCTGATTCCCCGACAACCAGTTCTCATCCGAAAGAATTACCTTGATTAAGCTCGGGTAACGGCGTTGTCGGCGTTCGTGTATAGTAGTACCTCAAGACGTTGATTCTACTTTCACTTGGAAGCCTCTGTTCTAGGGGTTTTTACATACTGTAGGATCTTGCCCCAGATGTCTTGCTCTAGGAACCCAGGCTAGTCCAAGACTTTTGGAAAGGTACAGATCCTCGTCACAGTCGGGGTGCTCTCAACGGAACCTCTAGAGTTTAGAGGAACATAACTGTAATCACGGTTCATAATCGGATCTTAAAGACCATCGTTAGTACCTTGGGAAACGAGGTAAAAGCATTCTTTCCGTGTAAGACTTTGCTCGGTTCCTCGAAAGTCCTGCACAATAGGCTCAGATTGTTTGATTTGCGAGATCGCTTTGCGTGCATATGCTCGGTAAGATGGATGGGGTCGGCGGGGGCCGGACCGGACAAGATCACAGCTATTTTTAGGGCTCCCTGACTGTGGGTGATTACAGTAATCTCAGTACTCAGATCTAATCTAATGAGGACTTACTCCAGGCTCTGGTCGCATCTGTTCTTTTATTGATTACAACAAGCTGGTTAGTTTATCTAAGAATCTGCCCCCTCCACACCTTCTACTACCCCACCTTCCCATCAGGACCTGCCACTTTCTCAGTTCCTACCAAGAGATCTCTCCACTGTGTGAAGGCATACACATCCCTGACCAACGTTCAGTTTTTACTGCAGAGGCCGATGCTTTATTACCAGCACTGACATGGTTCCACATTCGGCATTGAGACTGTTCCACAGAAATCCCTTTTAATGATCACTGATTCCGAGTCATGTCTGGAAGCACTGGAGTCTATAAGAATCGATCACCCAACCTGGAATCAAAGAATTTTAGTATTATTTTCTGCTGGGTTCCTGGCCACTCAGGCATCTCTGGTAATGAACAAATCCGAACTTAGTTTTGGAGGTTTTTCGGAAAAATGAATCTTAAACACCTTTTCTAGTTTTACTCGTGAATAACTAATCCGGCTCTCGCCACGAAGATACAGCCGTAGACGCCGGCATGGCGTTAAAAGGGAAAGAACGGAAGAAAGGCCGAGAGATCTCTCACGGTCCCTTTATTTAGCTGTAATGATGAGGTAGTTCTTTTTACTTCGCCTGCTTTCCAGTGCTATTTTTATCCTCCCTGTTTGCAAAACTGTAACTTGCCCCCCCCTCTCTCTCTCTCTCTCTCTCTCTCTCTCAGTGGATTGCTGTCAACTTCTCTGGCTATGTCTCACCATCTTCCTCACAGCATGATGAACACATTTTCCCAGGCGAAACCGCTTTTGATCGACACGTAATCAATGGTGTTTATCAATGACTTGCGGTGTGGAAAACGCAGCTGTCGTTGACATCATTTGTCCAGAACCTTTGGCACCACATAACTGGATTCTTTTTTTCTATTGTTCTACGACATCAGTCTCCTGTCCCGTATTAAGTTGCATGGATTGTGGTACCTGCTCGAGATCAACAGCCAAGGGACCGACTTGTATTTGGGGGGCATCATGGCTATCTGCCTGGTTTGGACCTGATTGGTCATGCATACTCTCTTAGAAAAAATTCAAAGGTTCCTAGTTGTCTAAAAGGGATCCACTTGGGAACCAGAGAGAGGAACCGTCTGTTTATAGGGACACAAACTCAGGCACCAAGTAGGGTTCTAGGATTAAAATCTCTTGCATACCACACAACACCACCATAAATACCAACAGGAAATAGTCGAGTTGTTGGTGCCGTTTGGGTGAACTCAACAACGTACCTACGTTTTTCATTATTGTCCAATTTTACGATCATTTTCACAAAAAGCGCTAGCAGTGCTGCTACGGTACACGTAGCCAAAACGAACAGATGTACTTTTATTCATTTTCTGATCAAGCGGTACTACGGTTTCAGTCGGTTGGCTTTGTCAGCCGTTGGTTGTTTTTCAGTCGATTAGGCTGTTGAAAACCCAGGTCCACTTGGTACTTGTTTCGCTCTTGTTTCTGAACATGCGGCAGAAAGAGAAAACGCCCTTTGCGAGCTTCATCGTGAGCTTCTCGTTCTTGGCCTTGAAAAGCGGCTTTCATTCAAAGATGAAACGTTTTACCATCACGAACTGGAATCTGGAACAGGACTATGAGTCCGTGGTTCCCCTTATTGCTCCATTGCTCCACCTGCATTGCGCATTTGCACACTTTCCCCTGCTGTAACACGCCCATTTTAACCTTGGTTAAGAGTCGAATGAGACGCATCCGTGCAAGGAAAGCGCTAAAATGTGTGCTGCGGGGAGCTATGATCGGGAAACACCAGCAGATCTCCAGCGAAATGGTGCATTAGGAGTCTCAGAATGAGATTTGCCAAACAGTGACGAGCTCGGAGAGATGGAGGGGGCCGGGGAAGGCTGGAATGACAGTGCGGTTATTTTTAGCACTCGGTCTTCGTGGGTGATTACAGTCATCTTAGCACTCGGACCTAATCCGATGACTTAATCCACGCTGCACTCGTGTCCCCTGTTTTTATTGATTCCACCCTAGTTGGCTAGTTTGTTCACAAATCTGTCCCTTTTTCGTCTCCCTTCCGAGCGTCTTTTCTCCGTTCTCTACCCACTCTCGAAATCCCTTCATGTATCTGTAATGAGGAACTGCTTCACACTGCTTCCTGCCTTCCCTTCTGCTATTTTTGTCTTCTGTTGGTTGCAAAACTGCAAAAAAAAAACCCTCTCACCATCCGTCTCTATCGCTCGCCATCTCTTCACATTTCTCCCTTTCTCTCTCTTCTGGTCTTGCTCTAAACCTGCCTCTTCTCTCCTGCTAATTTGCTAAGATGGCTCTTGCCCCTTCCGGCGTCTTCCAGTTCCGCCGTTAAAAGGTTTATTCTCATAACGTCGTAAAAGGACCGCACCGAGGAAGCCAGAAGACAACAAAGCGGATACGGCAGCCTCCGAGGGAATCCCGTTTCGGGGGAAGGACTCTCATCAGCGCAGCGATTTGAGGGGGGATTCCTGAAACTGACTGTGTAGGAGGATGCCGCAGCGATGCTGCCGTTTCATTTCGACGTGCGAAGGAGGCTCTAACTGGATTCTCTTCTCTCGGTACAAAGACTATTGAGCTGAGGAAATAGCCCCGTCGCAGACGTGCGCGTACCCGGCCGTCTCGCGCGCGCACATCCTTCGCTTTTCGTCTCTTTTCCATCTTGCACGAAGAGCTGCATCGTAACAAGTACTTTTTTAAAAAAAGTTTAAGCCCTCGTTTCATGACGAGCACCGAGCGCACGCGGATTCTTAACATCACGGTCGACTGGGAAGCGGTGGCTCGGTGGTTAAGACGTTGGATTTCTGATCAGAAGGTCGTGGCTTCAAACCCCAGCAGTGACAGCTTGGCACTGTCGGGCCCTTGAGCAAGGCCCTTAACCCTCAACTGCTCAGCTGTATAAATGAGATAAACGTAAGTCACTCTCGAGATAAAGGCGTCCGCCGCATGCTGTAATGTAACGTCATGACTACAAACACCGGCCCTTTCACTTTTTCCTAAAGCACATCTGTCGTCGTCGAGTTTCAGCTGGGAGGAACATCTAGGAACCTGGATGTTTTCGTATGTTCCCGCGTTCCATGCGCCTACGGTGCTCGCTCGGTCGGTCGAGTGAATCCGAATCCGAGCGAACTTTCATTGGTCAGGAATTCATCGATGGTGAAAATCGATCAAACCTTTTAGCAGAACCTAGTTAAATAACCGATTAGACCGATTCTCTCGACCGATCCCAAGCCGTGGGCATGGGCATGTTGACGCTTCTCGGTTTTCGCCAACCGGAAATCAGCGTGTATGTAAACCGACGGTGCGGATTTCGGACGTACGCGCACTTTTCTCAGAGGGTAAACCTCGGTATTCCCAACGGATCCGGTTTGCTCTCCAGCCTCGCTGTGCTAGCTGTGTGCTAGCTAGCTGATTTGCTAGTGTTGGTTACTAGCTAGTTTTTCCGCTCGTTCGAGAACACTGAACTTCATGTTGCTCTTCACGCGTAGGCTTCAGGTCAGTGTTCCATCTCGAGGCGCATAAATGTATTTTTTTATTTATTTATTAATTTTTTTTTGGATTACTTTCCACACTTGGAACAGTTGGAAATAATTCTGGTTGCCGAGCAACAGTGTTTTGGAAACTCTTAACTGGCAGCGTGTTAAACTTTCCTCAGATGAAATCGCAAATTAGAGCTGCATTTGAACACAACACTTGAGTTTTTATTCAGGCATTTTTTTTGTTTTTTAGGATAATTCTTATGTTTCAGAAGTGTCCAAATATAGTCAGAATTATTGGCACCCTTTGTAAATATAGGTAAAAAAAAAAAAAAAGAGAGACTTGTTAGTTATTTTAATACTAAAAATATGCGATAAGTGTAACCCTTGAAATAAATGTATTCTAAGAAAATTAAAAACCGTATGTCATAATTATTGGCCCCCCTAGAATTTTTACATTTTTACCAAGGCGGCGATATTTCTGGAGCTGTATTGCTGTATATTGCATTTTGTTTCTTACTTTTGACATCGGGACACTTTTTGTTGGCCGATTCATATAGAATCGTTCTCATTGTCCCAGTAGGGACGTGTCCTCATGCCGTATGTCCTGGTTTTATTTCTGTACGTAGCAACGAATTTACCGATTTTGGACGAGTTCATTAGCTGATAGACTTACGTCCTTTAAACATGTTTGTAAATAGCTCGGCGCTTGTGTCCGGGGGAAATCCGTGCTAAACTCATCTGTACGCTCTGGCGTCAGCAGCTCGCCGCGCGCGGTGAGCCAGCACCCGGGCCACAGACACCAGCGCGTTGTATTTAGCGCTCCTCGGCTGATGACGCTGGGGGTTAATCTGATTTGCGAGCAAGCCGAACGCTTCTTTGTTTGGCGTTTAGTTGTGAGGAAATGCAGGAAAGTACCTTAGTCGTTAAGGTTGTGTTTTTTGAGGTGAGTTGTTTTTTTTTTTTTTTTTTTTTTCTTATATACCTTCGTGATAGAACCTTGTTTCCTGGCCTCGTTGCGGGTCTTTAGGCAGGTGAGAACACACTCAGGTAATCACGCTCGGGTCCGAGATCGTCTCAGCGTGCATTTTGTTTTTCCTTTTTGCTTTGTTTGATTATGCGCAGTTGTGAAACCAATCGAGCCCAAAGTGTATTCGGACTCGATAAACAGACGAGCGAAAGGTCGTGAGTTCAAACCCCGGGACTTCAAGAGAGCCGACGTTTGACTTTCGCAGCTTAGGTCGGATTCCTGACGAATAACTCCGTAAACTGCGAAATGCCATCAGATCGAATATCTGATTAAGGTGCTACGTTTTCGAAGGTGCCCATATCCTCTCTGCTTGTTGCTTTCACCTGGAATCGCGCCCGATAGAACTAATTGGCGTGACGTGACTCTCCCGAAGTCGCGCTTCGCGGATAAATTGCTTTCTCGGAGGTTATCGGGTTCGCGGCACATTCGTCTGAGGAGTTTTGATTGAACCGTGCTCCGGCGTGCGTCTGCCTCGTTATTTATCTCCAGCCTTGTTTTGGAGCGCGTCGGCGTTTTCTCCCGACACTGTCTGTGGCGTGATGGTGGCGAACGGATGGATGGAGAAGAAGAGACAGCAGGAAGCAGGCAGGAGCTGCAGGAGGGCATCTGAGACGGTGCCAGATGTGGCAGTAGGTTAGCGGTGGAGGAGCTACAGAGACGCTCATTCACCCAGGATGAGGGGCGCGCCGTGGCCAAAAGGGGCGACTCCACTGCATTAGCGAGCGGCCTTAAAAGTAGAACCGTGTCAGAAACGAAGCGTTTTTTAAATCCCGATTTTGGAATTTGCCTTCTGTGGAACGCGGAGAGATATTTCACTCTACCCTTCCCAATCCCCCCCCCCCCCGAAACCTCCCACTGGTTATGAATATTCATTCATTCAAAGCAGCCTCTCATTAATATTCATGATCTTGGTCTTTTATAACCTGCTGCTGTTTCAAACCAGAGCGGATATTCGCCGATTCATTATTTCACATCACGAAACAGTGAGAGAGTTCGGCCGCGTCCAGTCGTACTGACCTGTTTCGACTGTGAGAAGGACGCGATGGCGACGGAAACGCTACGGAGGTCGGAACGAACTTCATCCGGAGATCGTAGTGAACGAAGGGCGGGTTTATGCGCCGCTCGTCACGTTGGGTGACGTTGACGTTATCGCCGACGCTACGTGTGGGGGGGGAAATGGTGCGCCGTAAGCTATTACTTCCTGTAGTGGTGTGTGGTTTGGGAGGCAGCCCGTGTGTCAGTGGACGAATCACGTACAGGTACAGGTTATTTAAGTGAATCTCTCACGAGACGTACAGAACATCGCTGATTACCGGTGTCAGCCCAGAGTCGATTCATTTCCCGTAACAGCGCGTGGTGAAGTGTTTTATTCCTATTAAACCACAGCAGTTTACCAACGATTACAGCTTTACCCCTGACACTGGAGACTCCTTCCATACGTGTTAAAGAAATACCTTCATGTTTGTGATTACTCCCGTGAGGTGCAGCTGCGCTCCTGTCAGAGCTGCTGTTGTAGAAAATGAATCGACACCTTCTAACCAATCAGAATCCAGAATTATTTTTTTTCAGTTGTGTGACCATTCATTCTTTTTCCTTCTCTCTCTCTCTCTCAGTGGTGGAGGTGAAGAGCTCGCTGCCCTCGGGTATGCAGAGTCCCGTGGCCGGAGGCGTCAATGAACAGGGCGGTGGTGGAGGAGGAGGAAACGCTGGAGGTCCGGTGGACTTGCGTACGGATCCTCGCCTGAGCGCTCTGAGCGTGATGGACCCGGCGCTGAGGGAACAGCAGCTCCAACACGAACTTCTCCTCCTCAAGCAGCAGCAGGAGCTACAGAAACAGCTTCTGTTCGCCGAGTTCCAGAAACAGCACGAGGTGCTCACACGGCAGCACGAGGTCCAGCTGCAGGAGCACCTCAAGGTAGATTAACAGTCCCTGACATCGGGGTGTTACACCAGCATGCGTTCTCCTGCAGAACTCGAAACTCCACTTCGTAACGCTCACGAGAGACGCTGATGCTGTAATAGTGGGCGTGTCTTGTAAGGGGCGTGTTTTTTTTAAATCCTGACGGATGTTTTAGGTTTTTTTTTTGTTAGTGTAACTTGTTGTAGTGGGCGTGTCTTGTAAGGGGCGTTTGTTTGTAATCCTGACGGATGCTTTAGGTATTTGTTGTGGGCGTAACTTGTAACAGTGGGCGTGTCTTGTAAGTTTTGCGTTTGTTTGTAATCCTGACGGATGTTTTAGGTATTTGTTGTGGCGTAACTTGTTGTAGTGGGCGTGTCTTGTAATGGGGCGTGGTTTGTAATCCTGACGGAAGTTTTAGGTATTTGTTGTGGGCGTAACTTGTTGTAGTGGGCGTGTCTTGTAAAGGGGCGTTTGTTTGTAATCCTGACGGATGTTTTAGGTATTTGTTGTGGGCGTAACTTATTGTAGTGGGCGTGTCTTGTAAAGGGGCGTTTGTTTGTAATCCTGACGGATGTTTTAGGTATTTGTTGTGGGCGTAACTTGTTGTAGTGGGCGTGTCTTGTAAAGGGGCGTGGTTTGTAATCCTGACAGATGTTTTAGGTATTTGTTGTGGGCGTAACTTGTAACAGTGGGCGTGTCTTGATAACACAATAACACATACTGCAGAGCGCATTATCCTTCTTTATAATGTATTATATATATTTTAAACAGTTCATCTTATATGTTGTTGTAGCATTCCCGATTCATTAGAAATGAATGAATGTAAGTTTAAGTGGGAGGGTTACAATTAGTGTGTGTGTGTGTGTGTGTGTGTGTGTGTGTGTGTGTGTAAAGAGTTCTGGTTTGACGTCTGTGCGTGTGCGGGTGACGTACCTTGATCGACATGTTCTCTTTTTTCAGCTTGTAACCTTTGCCCACTGGCTGAATGTGTGTTTGTTTGTATGTGTGTGTGTGTGTGTGTGTGTGTGTGTGTGTGTGTGTGTGTGGGTGTGGGTGTGTGAACAGCAGCAGCAGGAGTTGTTGGCAGCGAAGCGTCAGCAGGAGTTGGAGCAGAAGAGGAAGCTGGAGCAGCAGAGGCACGAGGAAATGGAGAAACAGAGGCTGGAGCAGCAGCTCATCATGCTGAGGAACAAGGAGAAGGGCAAAGAGAGTACGCAACACACATACACACACACACACTCACACACACACTCTCTCACACACACACACACACACACACTCCCATGTCGTTCCTATCCACCGAGCAGGTTACGTCATAAGCAGCGGTCACACATCTGCAGAATTCATCTGCGTGTGCGAAAGTATTTGTCCCCGCCGTGTCTCCTACTGTACGAGCGTAATTTAATTTACCGCTCTGACGCCCCGCGCTCTATTTAT